GCGAAAGCTGAGTCCGCATCCGAGTCCCATCTGAATGGACTCTTAACGGACGTCAACCGGGTTAACGGGAGAGCCTTTTGGCTATAATTGCGGATGAATCTTCTGTAAAAATTTGCAAACCCCAGGAAACGCTGCAGTTCCTTACGGCTAGTCGGAGTAGGCCACTCCACCACCGCCTTAGTTTTAATGGGGTCGGCCCTCAGCTTACCCTGCTCGACAATAAACCCCAGAAAAGAAATGGATTGTGCGTGAAACTCACATTTTTCTGCCTTTACGAAAAGCCTATTTTCTAATAGTCGTTGTAAAACGAGCCTGACGTGCCGTTTGTGCTCCTGCAATGACCGGGAGAAAATCAAAATATCGTCAAGATAAACAAAACAAAATACATTCAGTACGTCTCTCAGCACGTCATTGACCAGACTTTGGAAAACAGCGGGTGCATTAGTCAACCCGAAAGGCATGACAAGATACTCGAAGTGGCCCAATGGGGTCTTAAAAGCTGTCTTCCATTCGTCTCCTTCTCGTACGCGAACCAGATGGTACGCACTACGTAAGTCTAATTTAGTGAAAATGGTGGCCGATTGTAAAGGAGCGAAGGCGGAGTCTAGCAACGGCAATGGGTACTTATTTTTGATGGTAATGTCATTGAGCCCACGGTAGTCAACACACGGCCGCAACGACTTGTCCTTCTTCTCCACGAAGAAGAATCCGGCACCTAGCGGTGATCGCGACGGTCTGATAAGACCTGCAGCGAGCGAGCTGTTAATATACTCCCGTAATGCCTCTTGTTCCGGACGAGACACCTGATATAGCCGAGAGCTCGGCAACGGGGCACCCACCTGCAGGTCTATGGCGCAGTCGTACGGACGATGTGGCGGTAAAGATCGGGCGCGGTCCTTGCTAAAAACTTGTTGCAAGTCATGATAGCAATTGGGTACTCCGTCAAGACAGATGACTTCAGAGGGATCGTTGACGACCCGCTCGCGCCCCCCTACGGCTGATCGCAAACAGTGCTCATAACAAAACGGGCTCCAAACCTCTATTGCCGGACGCTCCCATGAAATAATGGGGTTGTGTGTTTTGAGCCAGGGTAAGCCGAGGATAACCGGAACGGCTCGGGAATGCATTAAATAAAACCGTCTGTGTTCGACATGGTTCCCCGATACCTTGAGCATCAGTGGTTCAGTGATTTGTGTCACTACGGCCAGAAGGCGCCCGTCGAGATCATGAACACGCTTCTTTTCGGCTAGTTCCTCGACAACGCAGCCTATTTCTGAGGCAAGGTCGGTGTCAATAAAGCAGTCGTCGGAACCCGAGTCTACGAGAGCCCTGACCCGTCGTGTCCGAGACGCCCCGTAGATTTCTCCCTCTAGTTCAAGTCTCTTGGGGTGCCTTGGCCGTGAGTCGATTCCCCGAGGCTCTCGTGATTCAGCGCGGGGTCGTGACTCACAGTACTCGAAGGACGTTGATGGTTGAGGTTCCGATGGGCAGGCAGCGGCTCGATGTCCCTGTAGGCCGCAGCTGGAACAAGCCTGATCATCGAACCGGCGCCGTCTCTCCTCCGGTCTGGAACTCCCGCCACCCAGCTGCATCGGCTCCTCCCCGGTGGCAACATTCCGGGCTGTGTGGTGGTCTCCGGACCCCGCTGCCCGAGTGGTCTCGCTGAAAGCCCTTCGGTTCGCCAGATGCCGGAAAGGAGAACCGCCACTTCCGCGCTCCCGGTTCCTCTCTCTCAGGCGGTTGTCCAGGAGCAGGGAGAGATCAATTAACTCCTCCAGGTTGGTGCTGTTGTCGCGGGTAGCCAGTTCGTCCTTGAGTACGGTGTTCAATCCACGACGAAACAATCCACACAGTGCCCGGTCGCCGTATCCGCTCTGGGCGGCCAAAATCCGGAACTCAATGGAGTAGTTCGCCACGGATTGTCTTCCTTGGCGGAGCTCAAGTAGCCGGCCTTCAGCCTCTCTTCCCCGTACGGGATGGTGGAACACCCGACGAAAAGCGGTCACGAAGCCGGAGTAGGAAGACCGGAGGCTCGGTTGTGCTTCGCTCACCGACATTGCCCATGACGCCGCCTGACCGGTCAATAGGCTCATGATATATGCAACCTTCGCGTTATCGTTAACATAAACTGAAGGTTGTTGGTCGAAAACGAGCGAGCACTGGTGGAGGAAGTGCCCGCACTGACCATGTTCACCACCATAACGTGGTGGGTGTGGGAGCATCGGTTCTCTACATACTGTAGGGGAAGAGACGGGTACCTCCGTAGTGGGAAGTTGAACCACCGGGGAAGGTGCTCTCCGTCCTTCCAGAACCACTAAACGAGGCTCGAGATTATCGAACCTATGAGCCAGCATGGAAACCGCGCCGCGAAGTTCCGTAATAGCTTGGCTCTGCTGGCTCGTAACTTGCTCTAGACGGGACAGAGCGGCCAAAACCTTATCAATGTCTGCGGGATCCATGGTGGCCGGAGTATTCTGTCACGTTGCGTACTAGGCAGAAAGAGAGAACTGCTTCGTACGCAACGGAGCGAACAAGAATAGGTGGATCCCCGAAATAGCAGGCACTGACAAGGTCTTGTCTAAACAAATAATATTTATTACAAACGAAAAAATACCGTCTTTAAAGGACAACGGAAAACGCTGGTCAAAACGAGAACCAGGAAATA